CCCTATGAATAAGCACTTTGGCGACAGTGGGAAGGAAAAACTCCCTTTTAACAGGAAGAAACCTCCAGCAGAACCAGGCTCAGGAAGGGGCGGGGCCATCTGCTGTGATTGGTTGGGGTGAGAGAAGGAAGACAGGATAAAGACATGCAACCATACATACTGTCACTACCCGATCTGTACCGGAAACCCGATCGGTACCACGCATGTGCGAACGGTGTCTACTCCCGGTCGAAGCGTTTTACGATACTTAATGTGGCAAAGAGAGGAAGTGACGTAAGATTTGCGGGGTACCGGTCGGGTTTCCGGTACGGATCAGGTAGCGACACATACCATATTTCTAAGATTTTCAGGGCCGAGTACAATAACCTCAGTTTGATCTGAATCAAGAAAATTTTAGAAGATTAGATGAGAAATGATGAAAGCTGTTGAGTACCTGCGTGTGTCTGGCTGCATCACCTGCTCGTACATGCTGAACTCTCACCTGAAGCTGTAAGCGTCTCTTTTGCTTTCACGACTCGGATCAATAAAATCTGCAGTGTGTAAGAAGTGAAGTGTGTCTCTTTGAATTTCCCGACGATGATTCAACCCTTTACTGACACGTTTATTACCTCGGGCAGTTCAGGGAGCACAGCGTGGGACTTCCTGCTCCATCTACGACCCTGCAGACGCTGATTATTTTTACTGACTGACCCAGAAATCAGTGATTGACACTACAGGTGGTCAGATCGAACCAAACGTCGACAGTATCAATGCCAACGCTGTTATCATCATTGGATTGATACTAGTGCAACAGGTTTCTATCCTGTTGAGTTCAGTATGTAGCCCACTGAGTGTTGATTGTGTTTCAATGAACAAATATCCATCAGACATGCTGAGAAACATGTCTGAACCTTTCTGTGGTGCCTGTAGCACATTAGAGACATAAGTCTACATTCAGCTCTTCAAAATAAAAGCTGAGAGGTGTGTTTTATTGTGTTAAGTCATTATTGTGGAAAGTAAAAGTCACAGTGATTTAATGGTCAGTAAAATGTGTTATCATGTCTTATCATGAATCAGGACACTCTGCTCTCCCCAACACCAGCTGCAGGTTAACAGTATCTGTACAGGTGTCTGTGATACTGATGCTGTGTACTCGGTATCAGACCAATGTCTCAGTATCACTAATAAATACCTGCGACCTCTCCCTGAGGGTGATTTAAAGGTCAGCCACACAGGCCTACAGAGAGATCACGACACCCAGCAACCACAAAACTACGTTTAAATGTTTTCCTTTGCCTGCGATTGGTGTGAGGACACCTGGGAGCTGATTGGTCCGTAGACCTGTGTGACATTTTTTAACAGAATCCACCCTGAACTCAAATCAGGAAGCTTGTTGTTACCACCACCTGGAGGCTGTCGGTGGTACTGCAGCTGGCAGCTGGGCAGGTGTGTGCAGGTGTGAATGACAGGAGGCCGTGTGCGATCATTAAATATTGGATTTATTTAGATTGATATTTAGTCTGTGAGATGATCAATGGGCACGAGTCCTCGGCAAACACGCCGTTAGAAAAATAAAACGCTTCTCTCGCTAAAATGACGCCAAACAGTTCAGGCAGCGCTCTTCCTCATCGTCAGTCACAGAAACATCTGGAACATCTGCCACAGCGTCAAGGTTTCTGACCGCTGAACGCTCCGAGGGGCGGGGCCTCGGCTCTGACGTGTCAGCTGTTTCTGTCCAGTCTGAATTACAAGGAGAGGGAGCAAGAGCGCCTCCGGCTGGACACGCAGGGTTAATACACAGTGATCAGGAAAACTTGATTATCAGTGAGTCTGGGGGAGGGTTGCCCGTGTGACAGGTGAACTCGCTCACACAC